TTAGATAGATAGATAAGATCTTTATTGACTTGGAAAAAATAAAAGAAACACGTCCAGAGACAAAACGTCTGGACTTACAATTTCCTACATATATCAATTCATTATGTATATACAAGACTAAGTGGCTACACAAATTCGAAAAGACATCTATTAAAAAAGCAACGTTTAAAACGTTCGGCTCTAACTAGAGGCAGGATGTAATTATGTCCTCTTTTCCTGAGGCTCCCAGCTCTCTGAGCTGGTAAAAGTTCATGTAATGGATTTGCGCTGTCAGAGGTTATCTCGTCCCAAAGAAGCCTGTCTTTCATTTAATTACAGCCATTATGGGAGTGTATTTGCTGGTGTAACCATAACGTAACGCTCGCTTACAGAACTTATCAATACGAGAGAGACATTTACTGTAGTGGGCAGAAGCCCACACCTCAATTGCGTAAGTGAAAAGGACATAATTAGACTGTCAAACAGCAGTGTAAGTTCTTGTAATGAAAAGCCGTAGTATTTGCAGACTCTAAGGATGTACAGTCTAGATGTTGCTTTGCTGAGCATGTTTTCAAATTGAACGTCCCAGTTACATGGATCTGCGTTTACTGTAACTCCTAGCAGCTTTAGATCGCTTTTTCTGGTTATTCCGTGTACGTGCTCTGGAAGGGGCATTGTGGTTTTACCTTTAACAACCATCTCAAAGGTTTTCTTCATGTTTAGTGTCATCGGGTTTTTATCCGCCCAACGTTAGGATAGGAGATACTTCTTGTTTACAGACGAGACGCTAAAAAATTCTCATTATGATGTTGGTTAATGAGATCGGTCTAAGCTGATTGCGTTCAGTCAGAGGAGATACCTTAGGGATGGGCGAGACGTTTGCTAATTTTTACAGAGATGGGACGGTTTGATGCCTAAGTGAGCAGTTGAAAATTTTGGTGATCACGGGTGCAAGATGGTGAGAGAAATCGCGCCAAAGCCAATAGGGAAACTCATCAGGCCCCGTGGCGGTTCGTTTCAGGTGCGATAATAAGTTCACAGTCGGCAAAAGGGTTCCTGCTGGTATTTGCAGACGCGTTGGAGCCTCATATTCATCGTCGGTGTTGATGGTCTGGAAATATGTGTTGATGATATCAGGTGAAATCACCGAGCTGACAAGGGTGCCTTGTGCATTTCTGCCAGTTATTCTATTGGCTGTGTCCCATCATCCTTTAGAGCCTCGGTTATGTTCACAGCGTTTACTTGGTTCATGCGAATGAGTGCGTTGATTTTCTCTTGACGAATAATTTTCTCTACTTGGTTACCTTGATGTGCTGTTTTGTTTCTGACTTTGCAGAGATGCTTTACGAGGGAGGATATGTAAGGCGGGTCCCTGGACGATACTCTAGCCCGGACTAGTGGAAAACTCTCATTGAACATCGACCATAGGCTTGTATTAAGTAGTTTCACGCTTTTTTCAGGATTATCTAGGTTGTTCATAGAATTCCAATCGAAAGCACTAAGCTTAGTCTCCATAGCAATTTTGCGGTGGTCTCTTGTATCGCGGAAACTGACATATTTCCGTTGAGGTTTAGCCGGGATAGAGGGTAGTACAGTGACAGCCAAATGATCAGATCTCACCAGACCCTTGTGCACCTTACCGGGTTTCCAAAGCAGTGGACAGTTAGTCAGAAAAACATCAAGTATTTTGTCCCGCCTAGTAGGTACTTTAACCATTTGATGCAGACCATGTTGTTGCGTGAGATCTTTTATTTTCAACTGATTTATGTCACCTGCAATTACGATCTTGGCGTTCGGATCATCGTACAGGATTTGATCACAGGTTTCAGATGGGAAATTCAGTAGATCAGCTGCTTCGTAGATGGGGTCAGGCGGATGGTAAACACTGGCAGCGAAAAACTCGGAATTTGGAGTTGTTATTTTGCACCAAAGAGTCTCGAACTCAAACTGTCCATTGGCGTTGATTACTTTTATTTTCCAGTCCTTCCTACAGAGCGGTTATGAGACGTATATAAGAACGATCCTTCGCAGTAAAGCACTATTTGAGCAATAGTGGAAATCAGACCTGAAAAAAATTTCAGGCCTGTACGGGATTCGAACCACTGACCTCTGCGATACTAGTGCAGCGCTCTACCAATTGAGCTAACAAGCCAACTGGGAGCAGGCCATCAAATTAATTCGATATAAACCCGTAGATGATAAATCGAACAACAACAAACATATGAAACATATGAGTGAACTGCGGTTATGAGACGTATATAAGAACGATCCTTCGCAGTAAAGCACTATTTGAGCAATAGTGGAAATCAGACCTGAAAAAAATTTCAGGCCTGTACGGGATTCGAACCACTGACCTCTGCGATACTAGTGCAGCGCTCTACCAATTGAGCTAACAAGCCAACTGGGAGCAGGCCATCAAATTAATTCGATATAAACCCGTAGATGATAAATCGAACAACAACAAACATATGAAACATATGAGTGAACTGCGGTTATGAGACGTATATAAGAACGATCCTTCGCAGTAAAGCACTATTTGAGCAATAGTGGAAATCAGACCTGAAAAAAATTTCAGGCCTGTACGGGATTCGAACCACTGACCTCTGCGATACTAGTGCAGCGCTCTACCAATTGAGCTAACAAGCCAACTGGGAGCAGGCCATCAAATTAATTCGATATAAACCCGTAGATGATAAATCGAACAACAACAAACATATGAAACATATGAGTGAACTGCGGTTATGAGACGTATATAAGAACGATCCTTCGCAGTAAAGCACTATTTGAGCAATAGTGGAAATCAGACCTGAAAAAAATTTCAGGCCTGTACGGGATTCGAACCACTGACCTCAATTGAGCTTGTTAGCTCAATTGGTAGAGCGCTGCACTAGTATCGCAGAGGTCAGTGGTTCGAATCCCGTACAGGCCTGAAATTTTTTTCAGGTCTGATTTCCACTATTGCTCAAATAGTGCTTTACTGCGAAGGATCGTTCTTATATACGTCTCATAACCGCAGTTCACTCATATGTTTCATATGTTTGTTGTTGTTCGATTTATCATCTACGGGTTTATATCGAATTAATTTGATGGCCTGCTCCCAGTTGGCTTGTTAGCTCAATTGGTAGAGCGCTGCACTAGTATCGCAGAGGTCAGTGGTTCGAATCCCGTACAGGCCTGAAATTTTTTTCAGGTCTGATTTCCACTATTGCTCAAATAGTGCTTTACTGCGAAGGATCGTTCTTATATACGTCTCATAACCGCAGTTCACTCATATGTTTCATATGTTTGTTGTTGTTCGATTTATCATCTACGGGTTTATATCGAATTAATTTGATGGCCTGCTCCCAGTTGGCTTGTTAGCTCAATTGGTAGAGCGCTGCACTAGTATCGCAGAGGTCAGTGGTTCGAATCCCGTACAGGCCTGAAATTTTTTTCAGGTCTGATTTCCACTATTGCTCAAATAGTGCTTTACTGCGAAGGATCGTTCTTATATACGTCTCATAACCGCAGTTCACTCATATGTTTCATATGTTTGTTGTTGTTCGATTTATCATCTACGGGTTTATATCGAATTAATTTGATGGCCTGCTCCCAGTTGGCTTGTTAGCTCAATTGGTAGAGCGCTGCACTAGTATCGCAGAGGTCAGTGGTTCGAATCCCGTACAGGCCTGAAATTTTTTTCAGGTCTGATTTCCACTATTGCTCAAATAGTGCTTTACTGCGAAGGATCGTTCTTATATACGTCTCATAACCGCAGTTCACTCATATGTTTCATATGTTTGTTGTTGTTCGATTTATCATCTACGGGTTTATATCGAATTAATTTGATGGCCTGCTCCCAGTTGGCTTGTTAGCTCAATTGGTAGAGCGCTGCGCTAGTATCGCAGAGGTCAGTGGTTCGAATCCCGTACAGGCCTGAAATTTTTTTCAGGTCTGATTTCCACTATTGCTCAAATAGTGCTTTACTGCGAAGGATCGTTCTTATATACGTCTCATAACCGCAGTTCACTCATATGTTTCATATGTTTGTTGTTGTTCGATTTATCATCTACGGGTTTATATCGAATTAATTTGATGGCCTGCTCCCAGTTGGCTTGTTAGCTCAATTGGTAGAGCGCTGCACTAGTATCGCAGAGGTCAGTGGTTCGAATCCCGTACAGGCCTGAAATTTTTTTCAGGTCTGATTTCCACTATTGCTCAAATAGTGCTTTACTGCGAAGGATCGTTCTTATATACGTCTCATAACCGCAGTTCACTCATATGTTTCATATGTTTGTTGTTGTTCGATTTATCATCTACGGGTTTATATCGAATTAATTTGATGGCCTGCTCCCAGTTGGCTTGTTAGCTCAATTGGTAGAGCGCTGCGCTAGTATCGCAGAGGTCAGTGGTTCGAATCCCGTACAGGCCTGAAATTTTTTTCAGGTCTGATTTCCACTATTGCTCAAATAGTGCTTTACTGCGAAGGATCGTTCTTATATACATGGCTGCCAATATTGGGCGCTAATTACAAGCAGTGTTTTCACGTCAGTAAAGTATTACTCGTAAAGCTTCCATAAAATGAAGCTTCTATAAAATGTTGCTGAGATAATTGGGGCTCAACGGCAGTAAAACAATGCAAAGGCTTCTCTAATTACATATTCGAACCGGGTCCTCTTGACGTTTGCGAATGATTCAGTGTTTATCAAGGAACCGAGAAATATACAGCAGAACCAATCACTGTCCAAGCCATTAATGTGCGTTTGTCGTATATTTATGTAGCGGACTTACGCAGACAGTTGTCGCTGCCATTAATGAATGCCAACTTAGACAGATGTTTCTTGCGTGGTTGGAAAATAAAGCTGACGGAAAATAGCCTTTATGTAATATTTACCGCTCTCATGAGATAAAGAGCAGTCATGAAGCATTCATGATCTGTTTGTAAAAAGGCGAAAAAAGGAAACGTATGGCTTCTTTCTCTCAGAAAATGCCAATTAGAAAATATATTTTTTTATAGACAGAGTCAAAGACAAATGTTTCTTGCTAATTGGATCTCAACACATTAAGGAAGTCAACGATCGTTGACTAGAAATTCATATGGTAAAACGCGATGAGAAGTAGTCTATTTCTAAAGAAAACCCTTACATAGTTAGTTTCCCCCTTTCAAAAATCATTCCTATTATCTAAGATTTTTGACGTCGAATGAATGAAGTGCTCTCAAACTTTGGAAAGACTTCTAAAGGTTAAAACATATAATCATGTACCAATTTTTAGCCACGTATTTTCATTAAGAATGCAGTAAGGGGTAATTTGTTCATCCCTTGGCGAAATGGGCGGTTTTCTAAGTTTACCTCTAATTGTCCCGTTTTCCCACATCAACTGCAATGTAAATTTCGCGCTAAATGCGGGAGTGTCTTTCAGGTCTTCACTTCGACAGGATAAGATCTCGTTGCCAAGCCCACTATTATCTAAATTTCAGAACATTGAGCGTTCTAACCTTTAAGCAGACGTTTCCTTTCCGTAACAGTGCATGAGGGATGTCCTCCAATGAGTTTCTTGCTGACACTGAGTAAAAATAATGAACACAATTCTGTTTCCAATTTTGATACGTTTGACATATTAAAATGAAACACCAGCTGTCATAATTAATGTTGACCGGAAGTTACTACATCGATTATTGAGTGGTTCCGAAATGAAGCACTGGTATATGAATGGGAAAGTGTTATTTTTTTTTAAAAAAAGGCTATTTCTATTTTCCCTGTAATACATTTTCTTAAGAATTTTATGTTTCGCATTTTGTGTTTCTTTGCCTGTCTTACGGCATATTTGCCTTCTCCTGGATATTAGTGTTATCATAATGATTATTTGATGTGACCATAAAATGGAAAAAGATGTTATTCATCATGTCACGAGCATGGGACAAAGAAAAAATGAGTTATGTTGAATCAAACCTCAGGCCTTCAACTCCATGTGAGGACTCTGAATTTTTTTCTTTGTACTGCGCTCGTGCCTAGACGAAAGATATTCTTCTTTTTTTACCGAGCTTAAAATTTACCACCTTTCTTATTATGTTTACAAACTTAAGAGCGGCAGGTGTGCAATATGGAAAAATAGAAATTCCCCAAACTTTGCTCGTATATAGGTCTGGATGAAGGATTTCTAGAAAAAAATACTTTGAGTTCCATTGCATTTTTATTTTACACGAACGGCGGCAAAATCAGTTTGGTGGCTCTCACTTCAGCTTTACGAGGTCCAGACAGTTCATCACTTGAACGTAGTGCGCATATTGTCCATGCATCAACATCGTTGGGTCGTTGGAAAACAGCTGCTCTACTCAATATCAAGTCATATTCATTGAACACACCAGTGAATAAAAAAGAGCCAAATGCCCTTCTATTTACTTGTAACACGACAGCAAAGGTATTTTTCGCTTAACCGCTTTTCTGTCTGTTGGATTGTAGCCTTAATCATCCACAACAAGAGATTCAATGAACAACAAATTTCCATTCTTCAAAATGTCTAAACTCAGCTGTTTACTCGCTACGCACTACGTTTCATCAGATAAAATTGATTAATTAACTGTGACGTTTTATGGCTACTTTCCATTAAGTAGTTACAAGTTCAAAAAAGTTATGAATTTTTATCTGAACAGGAAACCTCTCATTCGTAATTTTTGGATTTCAGGTAAAAAATTCCCTGCAACTTTTCGATTTAAGAATTTTCAACAATTTGCAAAATAAGAATATACATCGAAAAATAGCGTGACACGTAGGTCACGTGGTGACAACCATGTTTATTCATTTCTACAAAATGAATGCAGTCGTAGAAAACGAAAACAACTCCTATCGTATTGCAAGTAAATTTAAGACGCTATTTATAGCATTCAAGCATTTATTATTACCACTTTCGCTCACAAACTGCAAATGATATACAAAGTCGGTCTTTTCTTTTGTGTCACCTTCACCGAAGAGCGAAATTTCTATGAATTTAAAGCCCTCGTATGCATAGCAGCACAAAATCCCAGAAAAACAACCCTACAAACGGTACTTTTATCATTTCCACTTCTCATATTTCAAATAATGAACGTTCATTTCAGTTAGCACATATAAAAAAATGCTTTTGAAGCTACCCTACTTTTCACACGTTAAATAGATAGAAAAATCCGTATTTTATTTNTTCAATTACTTTCTGTTAATTATAGGCTTTTGATGCATCCTGCAATGAAACCATTGATAACACACGTGTAATTGAAGGACTCAGTAAAGATATAGTTTATTAAAATCAGCTACAATATTTTGAACATCCTGCCAAATGAGTAACTATTTATATTCAAGTAATACAAGTATTGTCAGTATTGGCAAAGATGGATTCAATGTTTATATGGATGATCAACATCCAGTGGAATTAGTTTATATTTATAACGTAATAATACAAGAATTGTCCGTCCGAAGATAATAGTTGTAGTCAGTAGTTGTAAAGTAATGCTGTACGAAGTTCTTTCCATTTATAGACATGTATCCCAGACTCCAACACAACACCGAAGCTCTTCTAACAACTCCCGGATGTAAGACGCTTTTGGTCTGTTTTCTACGGTTTCTTCGAAACAGAGGTTCATGATTTCATGCAGCTGTGGATAAACCAATTTTAAGTTAGGAGAAAAAAGCTATTTCTTTCAGCTTGAAGAAACAAAATTTGTAACGGCTATGTGGCTTTGAATCATGCAATGTTTTAATATCCAATTCCAAACGCTTGTCGGGATGCTATAGATGCTCTGCTGGTTTACAGAAACGTAGTGCCACGAACAACATTGCATTCTATAGTCTACTAATTGGAACGCAATACATTGCAATGCAATATATTGTGTATGATAGTATAACACAATATAGTTTGGCGTAATGCAGAACAGCATATCAGCATGCAATAAATTATTGGAATGTAATGAAACGTGCTATGCATTGTAATGGGTGCAGCGAAGAGCAATCGATAATGTAATGCAAAACATGAAGATGCAAAAGCGACCAAAAATGGCCAAGGCTGATTCACTGATGATAAAATGCAGACTTATGTTTTTTTTAAATATATAAGTACCCTTCATGACATTCTTTGATTTGGAGAACATGTCATCGAGCACCAAAATACTTCCGTTTACATAAGAAACAAAATTAACTGACGAATATGACTAAAATCCGCCAAAATCGTCAAGTATCCAACTGGTTTGACGAAATTTCGTCAAA